AACCGCACCGCAAAAGTGGCAGAAAGGAAGTCGGGCGAAGAAGAGTGTCAGCTCCGTGCTTGGGAATCCAGGGCAGCTTGGGGGGGTACCTTGAGGGGGCAGGGGGCGCACCCTCCTGGGCGAACGGCGCCGGCAGGAAGAGCGCCTAGGCGAGAGTTGGCCGGCGCGGGCCCGGGGGAGCAATCGTCTCCACCCGGTGCGACGCCCCAACCCGAAACCAGAGCCCGGGTCATTAGCGGGAAACCGAAGTGGAGCGGGAGATCGCATTTCAAAAGCTCAAATAGACCGGCTGACTGGGGACTTTGGACCGGGGGTGGGGGGGGCGGGGGGGGAGAACCGGACAGCCCGGGATGGTCCCCGTGTCCCCTCACTAAGCCCCCGCGCGCGACACCCCCCCCCCCCCCATTCCAGGGACTGCGCGGAAGCTGCTCGATCCAAGACGCAAAGGCCGCCTGACTTCATCCCGGCTGCCCGGCGGCGGAAAGCGCTTTGCCTCTTGGGGCAGAGAAGAGGGGTCCCTACTCCCTACTGGAGCAGTGCGTCGTTTCACCCCTGCGCAGCCTGCAGCCGGCCCGGCCTTGGCCGTCTAGGTGCGCGCGGCCTACAGATGACCAGGTTGCAGAAAACTGGGCCGCGCCGGGTAACCAGGCCCCCCTTTTCCTCCGAGGGCTGTGCTCTCCACACCCCTTCTCCCGCTTCACCGCAGAATCTGTCTCCCCACCAGCTGAGCTCCCGGCTGAGGCCAAAGAGCTGGGCATAAGCGGCCAGGCAAAACCGAATTCGCTTAGGTTCCGGGAGGCTGGGCAGGGCGGAAAGAAACAAATGATGCTCCCGCCCGCCGCCCACCTGCACGCAGCCCCTGGCCCGCGCGCCTGGGCCGATGCCACGCAGCGAATGAGCGGGAGGATCCCGGGGAGAGACGCCCAAGGCACCCCAGGCTTGAGGGTCCCCCTCCCACCCCGCGCGCAGGGGACACTTGGAGTCATCCGGGTCGCCCTGCCTGGCCTGGCACACGCGGGGGCTGCTGTAAATCCCTCTGGCTCGCGACTCAGATCTGAATGAGAACCCGGTTTCTGCCCTGGGGCCCCGCCACTGTCATTTTTAAATGGGGTTTTGTCCTGTCCACTCCTCACTTCAGCTGCCTGGGAACAAAGGCCCCAAGCCTTTGGTCTCCCCCCCCCCCCCCACGGCTCCTTCGAGGCACCAGGGAGAGAGGGTGGGAAGGGGCTGCGGGGCGGGGGGTGGGGAGCACCCAGACAGAGGCTGCACTTATCCCACCGCCCTGAGAAATGAAAATGTTCTTCTCCGAAGAGCGTGAGACACACGAAAACCCGGAACACGCCTATAGATTTCTCTGCAGCCGGGGACACACGCACGGTAGGTGTGTACACCTCCACCTGAATTAGGAATGGCGATCCAAGTGGGTTCTGGAGTCCCCTTTCGCGGGCGTTCTGGTTGCACTGTCCCAGGTGATCTGGGGTAAGTGGCTTCACTCTCGCGTGCCTCAGTTTCCTCCTCTGTCAAACGGCTGAACCGCACCCCCACCTCGCAGGGGTTAACGGTGAGCATTAAAGGCGCTCGCTTGGGTGGGGTGCCTCACCGAGTGCCCGGCACGAGCACGTGCCCCTTTACATGCCAGCTCGTTTTATTATTGTTGTTACGTGTACTTTGAACGCCGACATCTGCAACATATAGATCTTGATTATACGCATCTTGATTGTAAAACAACCAAATGCATCTGTATCCGGAACTGTCTTGCGCATGCACTTCCAAATCTAAATTGGAAGAGACATCTGCAAGGGAGCGCGCACAAGCCCACGCACACGCACGCATCTCCCTCTGACACCTGCGGTCCTAGCCGCCCCCAGCTCAGGCGCCCAAAGAGCTACCCACGGGTCCGCGCATCCACAGCGCCATGTGGAAGAGCCCACGTCCCGGCCTGGCACCCGCACGCAGCAGCCTCTCTCTTGGCCGGTTGCCGTGAGGTCGAATTTGGAAACCAGCGAGGCAGAAAGCGCGCGGACGCGAAGCGTGTCAAACCTCTTGCAGCGCCCGAAGGCGGCTGCCTGTCTGCTGGCTTAGGGGAAAGGTCAAAACAAGGGTTTTCCTTCTCGGATGGAATTTTTTGGAGGGCCTAAGGGCCGAGATCTTCCCCCCCAAAGAAAGAGTGGGTCTCCAGGGCAGCGCAGATCCAGAGGGGGGCCTGTGCACACGCGCGCACGCACCCACGCACCCACACTCACTCGCACACGCTCGCGCGCGCGCGCACACCCCGCTCCTTCGGGCTGGCGGGACCCGGGAGGAGGGAGCGCACGGGTCGTGACCCCTGCCTCTGCCGGAGCGCGCCCTTCGGCCCCTGCAATTAGCGCCGGGAGGTCAGCAGGAACCCGGACGCCTTTACCCGCGGCTCAAAGCGCAGCAAAAGGTGACCCCACCCCGCCCCTCCGCGGGTCTCAGACGCCAGGGCGCGGCCAGGCCGGGAGCCGACCTCCCCTCCCCAAGGGGCGGGGGCCGCAGGGCTCCGGCCGGCACCCGCGTCTGTCACCTTAAATCTACAAATCACGGAGTCGCTCGGCCCTGCAGGCGGCCGCAGCTCTGACCCCCGCCGGGACAGACTGCTGCTCCCTCGAGCCGCGCGGCCTTTGTCCCTGTAGACGCGGCCAGTGCAAAGAGCGAAACATTCCAGAGTTCTAAGTAAGAAAGTAAAAGAGCGCATCCAGGCAAAGGGAAGCCGCATCCAGACTACGTTTTAAATTATGTAATTTGGGGAAGGAGGGAACCCTGCCTCTCTCCATCTGCCCACTGAGAATTCAGGTTACCCCCTGCCCGGCTGGGTCGGGGAAAACTTTTGGAGATATCCACGCCAAGCAGCAGGGTGCTTGGCCAGAAAACGATGAGCAGGGTCCCCTCCCTGGATTTCCTTACTCTCTCTGGAAACCCAGAGACGGGAAGGACTGTTTTTCTCATCTGCGGCGCAAAGCGAAGTGAAAGTGATACCCAGGAAAGAGACCACTCACTGCTTCTTCCGACGCCGGGGCGGGGGGGGGCGCGGGGGGGCGGTTCAGACAAGGAGGGGCGCGCAGGTTGGGATGGCGAGGCTGAGAAGGGGCAAAGGTGAAAAGCGCGAGTTCCGGACCCGGGAGGCGCTGCGGTGCCGAGCGAGCGGCGGCGACCGGCGCGCATTCGTGGGCCAGGCAGATAGGTGGCACTCGAAGCCCGGGGAAAAAAAAAAAAAAAAAAAAAGCCGAAGGCGCCGGCCCCGAGTGGCCTCCGCGGCGGCCGCCGCCACCATAAAGCCCGCGGCGAGATTGCGACCGGCGCCAGGTGAGTAATAGGCCACGAAATCCAGAGAGATTGTGAGCGGTTCACCCCCCGTCCATCAGCGCCACCAGAGTTACTCATTAACATCACTATATACAAATAAGGTACACAGGAGATTAAAGGGGGGGGGAGCGGTGGGAGAGCACTGTCCGAGAATCGGGGGCGGGGGCGGGGGGCAGATGCGGGCTGAGAAAGCCAAGCATTGCTTCCTTCCCCGAGGCCGAGGCTCTCTGCCCCCCCGAGTCCGGAGGGGACAGCGCGCGGGTCACACCCTGCCCACTGCCACCTTCTGGGGGCGCGGGCTCCGCGCGGAATCCTTGGGCCAAAAGCCGGCCCCGGTGGGCGCGCAACCCGCAAATCTCCCGGCGCTCCAGGGAGACAGCGCCCCAAAGGTCTTCAGGCCCTACAAGCCCCCCCTCCCCCGTCGTCTGCCCTCTCACCCGGGAAGACGGCACTGGAGAGGGTGTGGGACTCCCCACGTGCCTGGCTGGAGATGCAAGGAGCTTGCCACCCCCCCCCCCAAAGGTCCCGACCCCGATCCCGTCCAAGTCCGGGAGGAGGGAGGGGACAGGGATCCTCCTCGCCGGCCATTCCAGAGGCCCGAAGGTGACAAGGACTTGGGGCCGGGCTGGCGGGCTCCAGGGAAGAGGGGGGAGGGAGGCAGCCGCCAGGCAGGCTCCGGCTGGGTCCTCACGTCACGGCCCCCAGGGCACGAAAAGGCCTCGAGAACCTTCCCTTGCCCGCCCCCCCGCGCCCCCCCCCCCCCGCACAAATACACCTCCGCGGCGCGGCGAGGCTGGGGGTGGGGACGCTCGGAGACCAAGACTGTCCCCGGCCTCGCTATTTTTTATTGAATGCTTCAAAAATACATTGAACTTCAAAAGGCACCTCCCCAAGCAGCCTGGAGGCTGGCTGGAGGGGGAGGGCCGGGGGAGGGTGTCAGCCTCCGGGGTGACTCTTCCCTGGGAGGGGGTCAACTATGCGCCCTGGAATTACCTTTCCCTGGCGGGGAAAACCTGCCTTCCCCTCGCGCGCCACAGCCAAGTCTGCGCGCAGCTGGCCGCATTCCGCGCGCGCGGGGGAGCCCTGGGTCAGCGGGGTCCCAGCAGAGATTCGGGGACCCGGGGGCCGCTGGGGCCCTGCCATTTCACCCCCCACCCTAGGGTCGCTGCCGGGCCCAGCTGGGTCTGCCGGCGAGATCTTGCTTTTTTTTTTTTTTTTGCACAGTGATGCAAGGAGATAGTTTTGACTCGCATTTTCCGGATCTACGTGAAAAGGGAGAGCGAGCCTAAAAACGAAAACGTTCGCCGTCGTCGACCGTAGGTTCGGTTGGACTCGTGTGGTAACCGCGGACTTAGGGGAGCCGGGCATTCTTTTTCCATTAAACCTTAAGTATCTGACATTGCTATTCAACCCGATTCTAATCAGTCTTCTTCCCGTCTCGCGTTTTGCTCCCTAATTTAAAGGAAAAGTAATTTCAGATCGAAGCGGCTCCCTTCGCCCCAGTAAGGGACTTTTGTTTTTAGCTTTCGAACTTGAGTGACAGCTCGTTTGGGTTCCGTGGGGGCGGTCTTAATTACTTAAAGGCGAAGAGAAGGGGACTGAGGAAGCCAGTGGGGACAGAAAGATTCCGCTTGCTGGAAAGTTTTCTAAAGACTGCATTTCACAGGAAGCCCAGAGACATTTCAATAAAAATTTATTGAAATTTCAATGCTGTTTTTTAAAGAGAGGGGAAGAAATACAGAAAACCAAAGAACTCATCAACAATTATTAACACAAAATATACCTTCATGAGTTTTTGTCTTTAAACCATCTCTCAGCACCTGACCTGTGAACTGGGACTATATAGCTCTAGAGGCACCAAATTCAAAACACCATCAATATTGAAGACAGTAGTCAATCCCACTTCGTTTTGAAGAAATCAGACTAGCAAATACAAATACAAAAGAAAAATTAGGAAATCAATCCACAGCCTCTGCACTCCCGGCCCCCCCCACCCCCGCCCCTCCCAAGCAATCTCAGAAACACTCTCAGGGTGTTCTATCTTAAGGAATTTAAGGGAAGTTGCACACCTCCCCAGTTTGGGGTGAAATAGACAATGGCCTCTTACCCCAACTCTTGGACACTAAAAAAAGAAAAATCCTTTTTTCTTTTCTTCTCAGACAGCTCTTTGGAAAGTCTGTTGGGTGTCGGTGCAGAAAGTGTGTTTTCTAGTTTTAAAAGCAATCCTGTGGCCTTGAAATAAAATTGACGAAAGGAAAACAAGAACACAAAACCTGGCGGCTGCGATCTTATTTACATAGAGCTATGTACAATGTCAATAAATTAAAGTTTAATTTTCCGAGCATTCATATTCCACCTATTTACAGGAGTTATCAAATAATTACATAAATACTTTGTCTAATAGTCTCGCTTCTTCTTTATTATTTTTCTTAAAACCTTGTTATTGCATATAGAGGAAAGAGAATTAACTGAGACATAAATCCTCCTACAAAGCGGAGATAAAATAAATTCATTGTGTGTGTGTGTTTCTCCTCACCCCTTCTCTTTAAATCCTCCCCTTGGGCTTGCCGATTGGAGGGTAGAGAATGGGGGGGGGTGTGGGTTCATGTTCTTTTCTCTCTAAAAGCAAGCATTCAAAATAAAAACCGCAAATACATTACTGTGGACCATGCAAAGAAGAGACCTATAGCGGCTCTTAAAACATCACAAGAATATTAAAAAGACACAGATTTCCTTAATAGAGACCAAACAAGGGTGGCAAGGACTTCCTTCCCCCAAACAATGCTTCTCCGTCATTTATTTAGAACTGATATGCAAGTCGCGATAAAGCTTTTAATGTTCACAAACAGAATCATGTTAATGTATTCATTTGTCCCCAGTATATTTTTTTAAATTTTATTTGTTTTTGTTTCTACTTGACACGGTGAAGGAAAAATATATATAGAGAGAGACAGACAGACAGATCTGCACTGGGGGAGAAGCCTTTCCACACCTCCCCTTCTGGCGGGCCTGGCCACCTTCTCCCCACAGCAATCAGAGCGGTCTAGAGGTGCTGTGGCCAGAAATGGTTTAACTCCTACCCCAACTGCTCAACGCAACAGACATTTCTGGGCCCCGGGATCCCAGTCAGATCCTGGATACAGAGACCACGCCGGGAAGACGGGGCCGGTTTCTAGCACGTTGCCGAGGAGTCCGGCACCCCCTTCCCAGGCAGGACGCACAAAGGGCCAACCCCGCGGCGCGCCCGCGGTTTATTTTACGTCCAACAAAGTGCACTGCAGACTGGAGACTGGAATGAAGAGGTCTGCCTGGGGAGGGCCCTACGGGGACCCGCTGCGGGACCTGTCTGGCTTGGCCTCCAGGCCGCTGACCAGCCGCTGGATGCTCTGCAGTTCGCTGGTGGCCGCCTCCTTCTCCGGGCAGAGTTTGGGCGACAAGGACACAGAGCTAGAAGAGAGCGTGGAGGAGCGGCTGTTGAGCTCCGAGCCCGAGTCCACGGCCACCGAGGCCGGGCTGGCGGCCAGCGCGGCGGCTTTGCCGTCCAGGGGCCCCGCGGCCGCGGCCATGGAGGGCAGGGCGGTGGTGAGCAGGCCGCTGCTGTCCGGGACGGGCATGGGGATCGAGTAGGGGCTGTAGCGCAGCCGCGGGCGCATGGTGTTCAGGTTGAGGAAGGGGTGGCGGTGCACGGAGCTGGAAGCCGCCGCCGAGGATGCTGCGGCCGCCGCGGCCATGTACGTGTACGGGTAAGGGAACAGGCTTCCGAAAGGCGACATGGCCAGGCCCTGGGGGGGGAGAGAAACACGGGTGGTGAGCTGGCCCAGCGGGACCAGCGCAGCGGGAAGGAGCCAACCTCCAACCTCGACCATGCCCCCCGCCCCCCTCCCCCCAACCTTGGGGCCTTGGGCGGGCCATTAATCTCTAGGGGCTGGGGCACTCAAGGCTTCCTTCTCCAGACCGCTTCCCTCCCCATGCCCCAGCTTTCTGACGGAGGAAAAAACCACCCGGAGGGAGTTCCTACACTTAGGGGCTTTGGGTAGCGAATGAGCCAAGGCTCGCAACGCCCTCCACGGGGCACCTGGCCAGGAGAACTGTTAGAAATTCTCCACTGGGGTCAGCTGGTGCATCTGATAAATGGGGCTGCAGGCTAGTCCTGCCACAAAGGTGGCCAAGTGCAAAGCAGGGGGTATCACTTACGGGACATACACTTGCTAAAGGCAACTGGGTGGGTGGGGGGAGCGGAATCACGTTTGCCCTAAACAGAGACAAAGAAAGCCTCTGGCCAGATACACTAGTACGACAGGTAGAGAAACCGAGGTAAGGTCCCACGGGCACAGGAGGTCACTCAGCTTCAAGTGGCGGAAGCAGAACTGAAAATGCAGGGCCCCTGATGTGGGCCAGGTCTCTCTGTCCTTGGCCTTGGGGTGCCTCTGCTACCTGTTTGCCGGGCAGCCCCTCTGGGGGCAGGGTCTGCAGGAGTGGGGAGCAAGGGGAAAAAGCCAGAAGCCAGCCATGTTCTCAGCTCCCTCCCCCGCCTCCCAGAGGGGAGCAAACCCTGCCTCTTGGCTCAGAGAAGGGAGACGAATGTACTCAGACAAAACAAAGGCAAGGGCGTGCAGAAAACCCCACAGAACCTTCCTCGCTGGGTTCAGAGCACTTCCAAGCGGCCAGAGACTTCTCCCCAGCTGCCCTGCGCCCCAGCACAGCTGTCTGAGCCGCATAAGGGGCCGCCATGCCGAAGGAGTGGCCCCTCTCCTCTGACATTTCCCACAAAGGCACAAACCATTAACCCTTTGGAGGGCAGGCCGGCCTGTCTGGGGTGAACGACAGGGACACGCGTCCCACAAGCCCACCCCCAAAATCCCTACCCCTCCCTGGTGGGATTCCTGGTGGGCTGTTGTGTTGGCTAGGAACCATTTAAAAGACATTTCAGCTCCGAAGAGGAAAATCAGAGACCCTGAAGAAGGGCCTGAGGTCAGAGGGCCTGGGGTAGAGCCTCGCCTCCGCCACTTGGCGGCTGTGTGACTTTGGATAAGTTACTCAACATCTCTGGGCCTCTGCCACTTCTTCTATAAAGTGGAGGGGACAAGAGTGTCGCTGAAGTTAAAACAGACCAAACACGACCTAAGTGTGCTAGAAACAGCTATTACCGTTATTACTGCCTACCTACCCTACCTGAAACAGCCCTTAAGTTAGAAGAAGAGTCAAAAAAAGTTTTTAGTTTTTTTGGGGGGTGGGCGGGGGTGGGGGGAAGGGTCAGATTATGCTGAGTCAGTGAGATAAACCTTGACCTAGCAATTATTGCTATTATTATTGTTATTATTAAGGCTCCTAGGCGAGGGGGGCTGGGTGAGGGTCTGGCATGGGGGGGTAACCAGAGTGAATCAAGGGAGGGTCTGCGGGGGTATGACCCCTCATTACCTGAGAGGCCAGGACGTGCTGCTGGAGGTGGAAGGGCAGGGTGGCCGCCGACGCCCCCGACAGTCCCTGCGCCGCGGCGGCGGAGGCCATGGCGGTGGAGTCCAGGCCCGAGACGCCGGTGGAGGCCCCGGACACGGTGGCCAGCAGGGGCCCCATGCCGGCCGCCATGCTGGAGAAGGCGCCCCCCATGGCGAACTGGCCGGGGTGCAGGAAGAGCGGGTGCCCGTTGAAGAACTGCTGACCCGCCAGCCCGGGGGCGAAGCCCAGGCCCGGCAGGGGGCCCTGGCCCAGGTGTGCGGCGGCCGCGTCCGTCTGCACCGTGAGCGGCGCGAAGGCCTCCTTGCCGGGCAGCGCGCGCGCCTCCTCGGCCTTGGACGTGGCCGCGCCCTCGCGGCCGGGGCTCCGGCGCTCCTCGCCGCCCAGGCCGCGGGTGCTGGACGAGATGGTGGCCGGGCTGTGGCGCGAGTCGGGCGACGCCTTGTCCAGCCGCCCGGAGTCCCGGGGCCGGCCGCCGGGCTCGGCGGCGAAGAGGTGCGCCTTGACGGCGGGGCTGCCCTTGTCGCGGCACGGCTCCTCCGACGTGGTGGTGGAGATCTTAGCCGCGTCGCAGGCCTCGGGGCCGTGCTCCTCTTTGCTGTCGGCCTCGGCGTCGCTCTCCCCCTCGCTGGGACACAGATCTACCACGGGAGGGGCACAAAAGCCAAGCGGAAGGGCGTGAGCTCCAATCTGGGCCAGCGGAACTCCAGTGGCCTGGTCTGAATCCCAGCTCAGGCCGTTTACGAGCTGTGTGGTCCCCTGCCCGCCCCTTAACCTCTCTGTGCCTCAGTTTTCTCATCTGCAAAGTGCAAGTGATGATACCTCACGCCTTTACAGGGATGATTCAGTAAGCTAACAATGAATTTACAATATGTGCATAGAAATGAACCGCTTCCCCTCCAGACCACCCCCCCCCCCAACTGCTGGCGGATTTTGCTATTTTTCACAATCATCCATTGAGCTCTTATGGTGTCCAAGCCTTTACTGCCTTTCCCCACCTCACTGCATTCACTTTTTGAAAACAGAATTACACGTATCCTAAAACTCACTTCCAGAACACCTTCTAGTTACTATATACAGTCTTTGTTCAGTGAGTGACCAAGATTGGCACCTTGCACAAATTTGTGAATTCTTTCAGAAGGATTTGTTTGAACCCTGACATCTGAATTGGTAGTGGCAGAAATACACGCATTCCCTACACAAAGACACGCACACACACGCACGCACACACACTCTCAACTGGAACCTTCTGTTTGCCCCTGTCCCTGCAGGCAAAGATGGGGGCGGCTGGCTTACCACCCCCATCCCCCGCCCATGGACAATCACAGATTCTCTTCTTTTTCACCACACCCTCTATGGGTCTCCCACTAGGAAAAAAAAAAAAAAAAAAGGAAAAGAAGAAAGAAAAAGGGATCCTATTTAATGTTTAAGGTTTAAATGGATTGAAATCATAATGGACTTTCATTTTAATTCACTTAGAAACAGGTTTCTTCCTGCTGAGAGAGTGTGTGTCTTTCCGAATAAATAATTCTTGCTCTTTAAACACAGGAACTGGGGATTTGAACCATCTCATCCCCTCCCCCCCACACACACTCCCTACTCAGCTCCTCCGTGCTCCCAGTGCTCAACTGTCAGGCTCCCAATGCTCAACTGTCCGCTCCAGGGCTGGACGTTTTCTCAGCCACCTTCCCTGTTCCTGGTGGCAGAGAATCTCTTGCCTCCCTCCCCCCACCCCACCCCAACCCCCAGGCCAAACACTTTTTAATCTAGAGCTCAGAAATAGTAAAAAGTCAGCAGTTGCTAGGTTGGAGAGAGTTGAGGGAGAGACAGAGGGGTGCTCCACGCAAGTTTTCAAAGCTGCCCCCCACCCCCAGAAGGACAGACACCCCAGCCTCAGCCAAATCGAGGTTTGGAGGAAGGGAGTTCTGAGTTCTCCTTTATACAACTTAGGGAAGGGGACACACCTGGCCACCCTTTTTGAATTGTGGCTCCTGCTTAGGGACTTCAAGAAGCATCTGAGGTTTTTGAAGAGCAGGTTCCTGAGTGCATACCCTCCCCCCCCCGCCCCCAAATCTCCCAGCCGTTCCCCTCCCCCTGCCCCAGACCTGGAGTAGAGAAATTGAAGGTGATCAGGTCCTACCTTTGAGGTTCGATGTCCCTACAGTGGAGACGGCTGGAGACGAGGACTGTGCGAAGCAGTTGAAGGTGGCCTGTTCGCTCGAGGACTCATCTGAGGTCCCATTCTCCTTCTTCTGCCTGTCATCAAACACCCTCATAGACTGCAGGGTGAGCTGTTTTCTGTGCCAGGAGTCCACACCCAGCGTTAGAGGTCGGAACAGACATTTCCCCTCTTTGTCTGCCTCACCCTCCCAAAGGAGGCACGGGGGGCACACCTCTCCCTGCCCACCACCCACGGTTTCTACGAAACCTGCTTGCCCCTGAGGCAGCCAGAGGCCCACGCATCGTGCTTGAGCCTGTAAGGAGGCCTGAGGCCGCAGTGTGCGGCACGGAGGGGAGGGGGCTGTTGAGGAAGAAGGTTTCAGCTCACTATTCATTAGGCCAAGCACATGGGCCACAGACAGCTGACTCGGAGGCCTTACATAAGGAGGGTGACTGGGCGCCCCAACTGGTGAACACAAAGCCTCCCCACTCCCCACTGGTTGCTAAGACTGGGAGAGAGTGCTCATTTGAGCGTGCGCTTTGTTTTACCAACCCGTCCATTGTAACAGGGAGCACAACAAAAAAAATCTATTTAGATGTTGGAAATTATTTTTAATGCTTACCCCCGCCCCACCCCACCCCCGCAAGGGGAGAGGTTAAAAATCTGGGCTGATCGTCTGGATTTGAGAAATTCTTTGAAAGCGGGTGGGGGAGGGGAGAGCTGTTTCCATATACTCTCCAGCTGTCTGCCTAATGCAAACTGCTACATATACCCATGAAGGAGAACGTCCCAGATCTCTCAAGGGGCCTCAGTTCTGTCGGATGGTATTTGCAAGACAAGGTTGCAAAAAATGCCGCAGCATTTTGTGAATGATTCGGTCCTTTCCTGGGACCTGCTGGGGGATGGACTTAATCAGGAATTACCAGGCGTCTGTATATATCCCTGACAGTGGTCTTCCAGAGACCACTATGGTGGGGCCAAGTTCATCTCCTTTAGGGTAATACAGAGGAGGCACAGAAAGCGTCCTGAAGTCCGCAAGCAGGTGGCAGAGAGGCAGTCAATTATTTTCCACCCTCTCCCAGACCCTTCCCCCAACCTTCCTACTCCAAGTGCCCGCATCCCGCTTCTAATAGTTGAGATCTGGGTCCTAGTAAAGTAATTCTGCGGGTTACCTGAGAAAGTAAGTACTGGGTAAGGGTCTTCACTCACCTTTTTTCTCTTCTGCCATTTCCAGTGTCCCGGAAACCTTTTGCGAAAGGGTTGTTGTCTATTTTTAACTGAGTTATCTAGAGGAGGCAGCACAAGCAAGAAAGAGACGTTGGCTTCGTTTTCTAGAACGTTTTGGGGGAGTTTTTCCTCCAAATCAGTCTACTAGAAATCTGACTGCCCAAAGAAGTCCTTCGGATACGCCAGGTTAAAGAGGAAGCGAGAGGGCCTGACAGTGTCCGTGTGAAGGGGGCCGGGAGAGAAGAAATCAAGGGGGCTGCACCCTGGCTTCGATTTCCCATAGGAAGCCAGAGCAGAAACTCCAGACTGAAATTATACCGTCCGGAAAAGGCCTCACCCTCTTTTGTACGCAGCCTTGAGAGCTCAGATTTAGAAATGGCAAGATTGTCGAGGCTGTCAAAACGGACAACCTGTAGATCTTAAAGTTATGCTTTCATTTTTTTAATACGGTGCAACTAATCATAAACTATGTTATGGCGTATTTCCTGCCCCCAAACACACACACACACACACACACACACACACACACACACAGCATACACTGCAAACTTTCCTGTGAATCTAATGAAATGATTTATGGGGGTTTGCTACTCTCGTGCCAGAGTGGGCTCAATTTTTTTTGCCGGGTTGGGGGAGGGGGCGCAGAGGAGGGTCGAGGAATTACACTATTGACATTACGATTACAGATGTCAAGGGATGGAATGACCACTGGAAACATTGGTTCTTGTTGATATGCTCTGCCACCCCCATCAGGTCGGAGAAGGCCTGTGGCCTCTCTGTCCCATCAAAAATGCTACATTATTACTTGAACAACTCAGATTCACGGCAGTGTGCGTCGAGAGGGAGCATGCATTTGCACGCTGGGGCAGAATGCCATCACATGTAATCTTTCAAATTCTTTCCCTTGGTGGGGGGAGGTATATACAGCCAGAGGACCCACCCATGGGAACAACAAATTCAAAATGCAAAAGGCAAGGTGTTGTCTGGTGGGCCGGACTCTCACTGAGGTCCAGGGTTCAGAAGAAGAGCTGGGGTCCTTTGCGGCTCCTCACCCCCAGAATAGCCGGCTAACAGTGAAGCTGGGAGCTAGTGAATCAGCAAGAGTCACTTTCTCCGGGTCTCTCCATGCACCTACCCATGACCTTCAGGCCACCATAACTTTATATACCAGGTGCTGCCTGGAGTTCCATTTGGGGGCCCTCCTAATCCTGGGCTTCAGGCCCAAGGGAGAAAAAAAGAACTTCAAATGAAGAGATGACTTTTGGTCATCTCCTCTCAAAAGTCTCAGACAACTCGATTAGCAGGACCCTGTGATCAGAAGAGGTTTTTCCAAACACACACACACACACACACACACACACACACACACACACACCATAAAAAACACAGCAGCATAAAAGGTAATAAAAACCAGACCAGCTACTCAGGATTTCTGGCCAGGAGAGAAAAGCTGCTCTCCGATTGGTTTCTCCCCCCAGGATCCCAAATGGCTTTAGCTGAAATTTTTAGCTGGTGCCCTGAGAACCTGGACCCTGGGTTTTGATGCTTCTTCCAGAAGGAGAGGAAGCGGAGCCTCAAAACAAACAAGAGAAAGCCAGGAGTGGGGGAAGCCGGAGCCAGCACAGTTGCAAGAGTTGCTCACTAGGCAAAGTTAGTTTGGCACGTTCTCCCTCAGCGCTGGATTCCTAGCTGGTCAAGTTTTTGTTTTGTTTCGTGTTCTCCCTGCCTCTTGGACGGGCTCAGAGCCCCTTCCCCCCAAAAAAGCGCCACTGAAGGTCATATCACAGAAGGAAACCCAGCCTCCCCCATCCCAATTCTTTTGTAAACTCCTCATCCCCTTCTCCAAGCAGCTTAAAGGTGAGACGAAAAATAGCCTCATTAAAAAGGGAAAAAAAAAAGCGCCTTTTGGTTACCTTATCATTCTGGTATGCTGTCACGGCGATGAATTCGGTTTCGGGGAACAAGTAGGTCCGAAATGTACTATAAGGAAGTTTCAAAATGTCATTGGCTCTCACAATGTGGAACCGAGGCTGGTATTTGTGCATCGAGTTCAAAATGGTCTGAGGCGGGAAGGGGAGGGGGCAGGGAAGAGGAGAGACACAGAAAAAAAAAAAAAAAAAGAAAGAAAAAAAAAGTTTAGTGGGATAAACTGGACCGTAAGACCCCTGCCAGGCTAACACCTACCCCACCAGAGGATACCAAGCTTATCCGGAGCCCACCTCCTCTCCTCGGAGTACCTCTTTGGGCACACTCCACACCACAGATGGTATCTTCTGGAGAAATCCAAATTGCTCCTCAATTTCCAAAGGGCTCCCCCCCACCCTCACCATCTAAGGTCCGTTCGTACCTTGAACCCTAGCCTACCTGAGTACCAAAACTATAATTCCCCTGCCACGTTGCGTGCTCACTTGGGAAGGCCAAAGTCTTAAAAGATAGAGAAAAACATGCATTTTAATTTACAAAATGATTCAGTCCTTTAAGCGCCCACTAATTGACGAGCCCAATCCACTTAAAGCCCTGAAAGGTTGAACTCCAGAGAGGAATATTTATGCCTTAATCAAATCAAGGGCTTCAAATGCAATTCCTGCCCGCAGAAGAGATTTCCGCGCCCTTCACGTCTTCCTGGGCCTAATCTTTCTGCTTATTCCTCGCTTATCACTCGGTTTATTTTATTGAAATGCGGGGGAGGGGGAGGGGCAGGGGGCAAAAGGCGTTTTTGCTTGACTTTTACAAGCAATTCCAGTCTCCTCAAAGTTTCTAAGGACGCTGCTACCGACTCCGTGTACACGCTTCCAACACACACACCACGTTTCTCCTGGAGAGCTCAGCCTCAGTCAGCAAACCTGACTTTCCCCCAGGCCCAGTCTTTTATCATAGAAGGGAAAAAAAAATCTCTCCCAACACGCACTCCCACCCTTTAACCAACGGAGCCAGGGCTCTGAACCTTAACCCTCCCCCCCCCCCAAGAAATAATAAAGCTCGTTTCAAAACACAGGAATGATTACTCAAAATAAATCCCTGACGGACTCATCGCGTTAACATTGATTTTATATCTTAACCGTCTTCTATCTTGGTTTTTAACTTCACTGTCTGGCATTTTCCAAGACCTGGAATTGTCACAGAACGTGAGCGGAGAGTATACTCGCCCTCGTTTCTTTAAGAACGCCAGGCCTTCCATTATCAAAGAGAAACACCCCGGAATCCTCTCTCGGGCTCTGTTTTGGATCGAGCCACGTTTGCTACGCTTAGCAACGGAGGGCGAGGGAGAAGTCTGAGCAGAAACCTGCGATTTACAGGGCAGGCATTGCCTGTGTTCGGGTGAAGACACACAACATATTACCGAGCGGCGAAACTTACAAATCCGTGTTTGTCCGAAATGTTGTTGGTAAGTTTCAGTTTGTGGAAAGTGACAACTTTGGACATCCACTGTTCCCCGGTAGCAGGGCTGTCTGGGTGAATGTACATTCTCTTTGGCATTTCAGGGTCAGCCTTACCAGCCACCATCCACCGAGAATTATGGAATTTGTATCGACAGTCATCAGCAGCTATAATGTCCATCAACAAAATGTATTTGGCTTTTTTATCCAGCCCAGAACACCTTACTTTAAACGGAGGAAACATTCGCCTACAAGAAGAGGGAAGAGAAAGGAAAAAGAAATCACTCAGACTCTTGGTTGGGGTTGATTCCGTTCGCCCTAAAATATTTCAATCTGATTTAAAAAAAAAAAAACCTTTCTACTGTGATTGACTGATGAGCTTCTGGTTCAGAGGAGGGCCACTGAGTGCAATATTATATTCTTCCACGACAGAAGTATTAAGTACCCTCAGTTTCACTCTGGTGAAACGTCTCAAGGTTCAAAACAAGTGAACTGTGGCTGCATTTCTCTACAGCGGCTAACAATTTCTCCACAATTTTTCCCTCTTGTAGGACTTCACAGAAGGCCCTCTTTACATTGAAATTCTTGCCTTTCCCCTTGTCCCGTGTGTGTCTACCCCGAAACAGCTAGGGGTAGGATTTTGGTAAACGTGGGGTCAGTCAAGGCTAGAATTCTCCACCACCCACTGCTGAGAAAAAGTTAAATCTATCCAGGACATGAATGTCCGGCTTCCCTACTACGGAGCAGCGAACCGGCCGCTGGGGGAAATGAAACCGGCCTTCGGTGAGGTCTCAAAACGAATTTTGTAGTTTGGGGTAGACTTCTGGGCCTGATAACCAATCTGCCTGGCACGCGGCAAACCACAATTCTCCCATGGCCCAGGCCAGTCCCGAACGGCACGACTGTACCACCAGACAGCTTCTGATTTCCCAGAAGTCGTGGCAACCCGAAGTCCTGACTTGAAAGGAAGCACTTCGCTGTGAAACCCAGGAAATGTCTTCTGGATTTCAGCATTCTTATGCCCAGCTTTGGCCTCTTTGGGCTAGGAAAGACCCCGAAAGCTCAAGACATCAAGATAGGGATTTTATTTTTATTATTCCAACATTATGCCTTGATAGGCTTCAAAGCCATTTAAAAAAAAAAATCATGGATTTTAAGTGACAGGCAGGGTTCGGTCAGGCAAGGACCTTTTAGGGCTAAAATACGGTTGATAGTATAGAAAAAAAGCAGCATGTATCAGTGGCTCCTTGGATTCTGCAAACATCACCTTAATTATCCAAAATCGCCTAAACTCTCCCTCGGATTACAGACACTTGAAGCAGTGGAGACAGACAAACCCCAGTGCCCTTCCATTTCTCTGTGACCCCGCCGGAGGCAAGCTCAGGCCCCCCCTGCAGACCCAGAGGCTAGGCTGGAGGGCAGAAAGGGCAAGTGGAGTGTTAGCTTCGGGTCTCCCACTCCCACACAAAGGAAAAGGGCAGTTAAGTTTTTCCGCTGGGAACAAAATGAAACAAACAAAAAACCAGACCATCAACAGAGACAGAAGGATGTTCCAGAAAGGTTCCAGAAAGGTTTAGAACAGCGAACTTCCTGCCATGGGGTGGTTTTCTTTCTTCCTGCAGAGATAGATGTCTGAGTTCCTTTGAAAAATTCTATCTAGCCTGTAGGAAATCCGTGATGCAGCCCCAGGTGGGAGAAACCACGGCTGCAAACGTCCAGGTAAGCTGAAATTTCCTACCACTGGGGAAATAGCAAGCGGGGAAAGTCTGTACCCGGTTCCAGGGGAGCTAAGTTTTGTCTGAGCCCGAATAACTGGCCAACCGAGTGTTCTGGGAACAGAGATAAAGGGGCGGGGAGGGGGAGAAGAAAACACCTCCGGTGGCTTGGGGGAGGGGGCCCTGCTACTTGCTTACCTTCCCGACTTGGTAATGACCATCTCGGTGCCTCGCTTGTGGAACTGATCCCAAAGTTCTTTGGCCTCGAGGTGCACCTTGGGGTCATCCTCCACCTCTTCTTCGGGCTCCATGGTCTTCAGAGGCCTCAGATGCGCCTGGGGCCCCAGGGACGAGAAAGGGATGCCGGTCTCGGCCGCCCCCACCAATTGATCCATGATCGGCTTGGCCAGGGCGCCGGGCAGCGAGAGCGCCGCCGCGCCGTTGGGAGGCAGCGTCAGCGCGGGGAAGAAGGGCGGCTGGTGACCCAGCACCGCGCTCATGGCGAAGTCCGGCGCCCGGTGAGGTAGGAACGGATGGTAAGCCATGCTTGTCCCCGGAATGACCGGATCTCTCATGGAGAGGCTCATGCACTCCAGGCGGGGCGCTGGGCTCCAGCCGGGGACGAGTCCGCAGCTGCTGTTTGCTTTTGTTTTTGCTCTTTAACAGCAGCGCATAGTTTGAGAGAGAAAAAAAGAAAGAAAGCAAAGCAACAAGGGGGGGAAATCACAACGAAAGCACCCTAGGGAAGGGGGGAGTGCCTTTTGGGGAGGGGGGGATGCCGCTTTTAAAGAGGGCAAGGCGAGAAATCAGGAGACATAGTCGCTCGGGTGACTGTCCCGGTGCCTCGCGTGTTTTCAGAAGCCGCTCCTGGAAGTCGGTTTCGCCGGCGAGAGCGGCGAGCAGGGTCTCCCTGGCGCCCGAGCCCCGCGGCGCAGCCAACTCGACGCGGCAGCCCCGGGTCCCAGGACTCGCTCCCGGGCCCCCCGGCGCTTTGTTGCAGCTGCGGACGGCTCAGCGCCGAGACTTTTTTTACCTTCTCTTCTCCTTCTTCTTCCCCGCCCCCCGTCTGTCTTCCTCTCCCTCTCTCTCGCTGGAGGCGTCTGCAGCAGCGTAGACCCGGCTTCGCCAGCGAGCGAGAGAGCGGAAAAGTCTCTGGCCTTAAAAAAAAAAAAAAAAAAAATCTCTGATTCAGGCTCTCTTCTCCCAGCGCTATCAAAACTCGAACTGCACACTGGCTTCCGTCCGCCCTCCTCCTCCTTCCTCTGCTCCGAGCCTCCGGAGGGTGTCCCGGGTTGCAATCCGAGTCCTGCAATGTTGCACTCCGCGCCTGTCTTCCTTGTTCTAAAACGTGAGCGAAATCGCTTCCTAAATCTGCGTCCAGACGCGCTGGGCAGGGAGGACTGAGTGGGGTGGGGTGGGGGAGTGAAGAGGGGAGAGGGGAGAGAGAGAGTGAGCGAGAGAGGGAGAGGAGAGAGGGACGGAGCGGGCGCGGGAGCGCGAGGAAAGGGAGGGCGCGAGAGCGAGCGAGCGGGAGCTCCGCGCCACCCTCCTCCGCCTCTAGAATTCCCCGGGCGTCTGCTCGGCGGCTCTAGAAGGTCGGGCTGTGCTGTGGGCTGCGGGGAGCCGGAGGCCTCTTGATTGGCTCTTTGACGCTTTCGGACCAATTGTGTTGCTGCATAGGCGTGGTTTTCACAGGTCGAGTGCTGGGGGATAGAGGCGAGTTATAAAAAGAAGGTGTCGGAAACTGTAACGTCGCAGCGCCGCATCGGTACTACTGCCTGTCCTGTGAATATGTCAACATGATCAGAGGGAGGGCGGGGAGCCACTGGGGAGCGCGCGCAGAGTCGCCTCTAGGTGGCTTATCGAGAGATCGCTGCAGTCCCTGAGCTCGCTCGGCCCACGTCTGAAATGCCTCAGTCATCCAGCCCGGGATCGAGGGAGGAGGCAGGGCCCGGGGAGGAAGGGGGAGGAGGAGGGAGCGAGCGAGCCGGGCCAGGAAGGCGGAGAGCGCGCCGGGCGCCGGGCAGGGGCGCTCGCCTCTCGCGCGCTCGGCTCGCCGCGCCTCTCCGGCCGCCGCGGCCGTTTCCCTCTGCGGCGCACCCTCTCGCCGCGGCCCCGGGAGGGCCGGGCGGGCGGCCGAGCCCCCCGCGAGCTGCCGATCGGCCGCCGGCCGCAACAAAAGGCGGCGGCGGCGCAGTGGCGAGCGCGCCGCGACTCCGGGCTGGCGCGCTCTCCTCCGGCCCCAGGTGGAGCCAAGCTCCGCCCGGCCGCCGCCGAAGGGCTCCCGAGCTCGGGTGGCTCTCGGCGCCGGGCTCCCGGCTCCCTGGGCTCGCGGGCTCCCGGGCACACGCGTGCGGGGGGCTCCCTCTACCTCCCCCGGCCCCACCCGAAGCCGTGGGCGGGGACCCGAGCGCCCCGCCACGGCTGCGCGCGGACACGCGCGGGCGCCCCGGGACCGAGCCACCCGCGGGAAACACGTACACGCAAACACGTACACAGCCTGCCTCCTCCGGCCCTGGTTTGCGCTCACCCCGGGAGGCGGACTCGGGGATTTTTTTTTGCCAGCCCTTTCCGATCTCGTCTTCTGCCCGAATCTGGGCTCCCCGAGTTCCACGTGAATGTGTGCGTGAGTGTAGAGGAGAGAATGGAGACCCGGACAGAAGGAGCGCGGCGAGGGACTTAGGCTACGGGCCTGCCCTCACCGCGGCGGCCCTGAGCGAGCTGGTAGGGGGGAGGCGCGCCCTCCTTGTATCTTCTCTGGGCATTCCACTTCTGTCTGCCTCCGTCCTTTCTCCACCTGGGGACTTATCTCACCAGAAGTACGGGGTGAATTTGTAAAACAAACCGTGATACGCCCCCACCCCAGAGGCGAGGTGACTGGTTCCAGTTGGGGGGGGGGCTCTGCCCCCCCTGCAGGGGTGAAGGGGAGGGAGGCATCTTCCGAATCAGACCTGTCACCGAATTTGTATGTTACCGCAGGTCCCTGTCTGGATCAGAGGGTTCCCCAAACCCCCATCGCTCGCTTCTGGGGGAGGGGCAGTGAGTTGGGCCGTCCCTGTCTGGATGGATGGAAATCTTGGGGAGAATGTTCTTCTGCCCTTCTGAGTGGAGAGCTTCCTTTCAGGGAAAAGGGCTGGCTTCAGGGCCTAGGGGGTTAAGAAACCCAAGGCTTGGGACGTGTGTGTCTGTGTGTAGACAGCGAGCGCGGTCCTCTCTCAGTCCGCCTTGCATCCCCCCACGCCCCCAGCTCCCAGACTCCGAAATGGGAGCAAGTGGAGGGTGAAAATGCACTTCTATTGTGGGCCAACGGCCTCGAGATAGGGGCGGAACTTGAGAGGCGACAAGCTTTTCCAGCCTCGCATTTTTGACGCACATGGTTAAGAGCGCTTGGCGCCAGCGCTCAGAATTCCCTGAAGTCACCAGAGAGAACGCCCCCTTCTTTCCCTCTCGTCCTGTCTTTCTCTGGGGTCTCTCTGCCGGTGGTGCAGAAGAGAGAGGAGACAAGGGCCTGGGGTGTGGGCTCACTGCGCCCCCTCCCGCGTCCCTAGCGCCCCGATCCCGGAGGGTGCGAGAGGCCAGGCCTACCCCTCCTTGCGCCTTCCACCGAGGTCACTGCAGGGCTTCACGAGTCTCCGGAGGCCCGAGCCCACCCCCTCCCCCACATCGCCCGCCTCCTGAGCCCGGGGCGGCTCGGCGGCGCTTTCAGGAGCGGCCCCAAATCCCCGCGATCTGAGGTTGCCTGCACTCGCCAGCCAATGTCTGTCTGGCCGCTCCAAGCAGAAAGCAGTTCTGCAGCCACAGTGCGTCTGACCCCCCCACCGCTCCCCCCCACTGTCTCGGTGCCCTCAAGCGAGCAGATGCAGGGGAGAGAGACGTCTCACTAGGTCCTCGCTTCCTTGGCCTCCCTCCGGCTTGGGACTTGGGGAGCCAGCTTGCTGATTTTACTTGTAAATATCTTGACTTGCCTCTGGCCCCCGCGTGGACCGAGCGGGATTTCTGGGCCTCACGTCGCCCCCTCCCTCGAATGCCGGTGTTTTGACCGTAGTTCTGACTTCACCCTGGGAGTCACCCCAGTTACCGCTCGGTAACCCCTCCCCCATTCTTGCTCGCCAGGGGTGGGGGGAAGAGAGGAAAGTTTGCGGGGTTCTGAATCGAAAATGTCGACATCTTGCTAATGGTCTGCAAACTTCCGCCAATTATGACTGACCTCCCAGACTCGGCCCCGGGAGGCTCGTATTCTGCTGGGAGGCCGCGGTAACTCGGGATCAAAAGCTGGAAGGTGCGAACTCCTCTTTGTCTCTGCTGGGCCGTCGCGCCCCCCTCCCGGTGGGTGATAAACCCACTCTGGCGCCGGCCGTGCGCTGGGTGATTAATTTGCGAACAAACAAAAGAGGCCTGGTGGCCACCGCATTCGGGTTAAACATTGGCCAGCGCGTTCCGAGGATTTGTGCCAGGCCCGGCAGCCGCGAGAGCCCGCAAGGCTAGCGCGCCCCGGGGCGCACGGCTTCAGGCTCCAGACGCGGGGGTCTACACGGCCTGCTCTCGCTCTCTCTGTTTGCAGATCCCCACGATAGTCTCTCTCTCTGCCTCACTCTCAACAAAAGACCTACAGGAAGCATTGAAGGAGCCTGCCCTTCGGGAGAGTCTGGAAAGTGGTACTTTTAAAGGCGGGAGAAGGGGGGGGCGGCAAAGTTTGGATCGGAGAGGACCCACGGAACTTCCGGTGTCCCCCAGACGTTCCTGCACCTTTTTGCAAAAAAGTTTTCATTGAATCGCAGGCCTGATTTTTTTTTACTTTAAAAGACAAAAACCACGTCTCGCTATCTGTAATGCCTGCAGCGTTTAAGGCAAAGCTGTGTGCGTGTGCGGGTGTGTGGGTGTGTAGACGGTAAAGTGGCAAAGGGGCAGAGGAGCCTCAGAACAAATTTCGTGTACACGCACACACAAATGCGAAACCAAAGCACCTCTCTTCTTAGTCCAGGCCACCAGTGCGGCAGAGAAGTTAGCCTTCCCAGGGACGCCGCTGGATCCTACTTTTTCCCTAAGGCACCGCCTGCCTCCAACTATAAAGGGGACAAACCGACCCTTTTGTGACCGAATGGTGTTTATCTGAAGTTTACAAAAAAAGGGGGGTAGGGGAGGAGGAGAGGGGAAGGGATGGTGGGTAGGCGGGGTGGTTTACTTTGGCAACTTTGCTGTAAATACTCTCTTCAGCATGTGTGAGGTCTGGCGGGGGACTATTACACGCTTATTCCCTCTTAAACTTTCAACCCCCCCCCTTTTGCGCCGACCTTTTTTCAGTCCGAGGTGTCGCTAAATTAGAAACTCTGTTGACATAAAGACACCCGTGTTTCTCCAGGGGTCTGAGGCCTAATTAAGAAATTTCCTACAGTGGTTGGTCAATACAGAAACTTTTACTGGGGAGGGGTTCTCTGGTCGCCTGGCGGTATAGAGATGGCTCCCTGTTTCTGCCCAGTGGGCGCCTCCCCCCCCCCCACATAAGATATGGCCTTTTTTTTTGGAAACTGACAAGCTTTGAAACTGACTATATGTGGCCTTAGGGCTCCCACCCTCCTTGGCTGCTCTGTTCAGCTAACTGGGGACTGGATTTTCTTACCCTGGATCTCAGGGACTCCGCTCCCTCCGGAGTGCCTAGCTTACCGTTTGGGAGTCCTGCAAAATGCTGCTAGCAACCCCCTCCCCACATTAGCACCCCTGTGCAACCCCAAACCCTGATTCTGCCATATGCAGCTCTGAGCCCAGTAGAGGACCTGGGCACAGACCATGGAAGCTAAATGTTCCTTCTAGAGCTCTGCAGTCACTTGGCCACCCCCCACCTCCATCCCCCCAAAACTTGCTTTCAGAGCTCAGTTCCTCCCCGGCCAGGAGGCTGCCAGATCATTCTCTTTGACAGAGAATCAGCCTCTCTATCTTTCCTCCCTCTGGGGGCAGGCACAAGCCTCTAGGTTGGACCAGATAGGGCACCCATCTTTTTGGTTTCTTCTTCTCCTTGCTGTTTCGGTTGGTTGATCAGTCTGTTGGTGTCCCGGTGTCTCTTCATCTTTCAGGACTGGGACTGTAGACCTGTATACTCTTTCTTGCTGTTTCTTTGAACTCTTCTCTTCTCTCTCTTGCATCTCTGCCTTGTTCTAAGTTTCTATTTTTCCTTCCCATCTGTCTCCACCCCACCCCACCCCAGGCCGTTAGCTTCTCTTGTTCCTTCTGTTTCTGATTTACTCTCTTTTCCATCCTTTCTTCATCTTCTTCCTCCCTTTCTATTTTCTCTGGCTGTTGGGTTTTTTTTTTGTTTGTTTGTTTGTTTGTTTGTTTTTTGTTTTGTTTTTGGCCCTCTCTGAATTCTCTCTCGCTTTTCTGTGTTTCTGCATTGCCTCTGTATTCCCTCTTCTGCCCCCCCCATCTTTGCCTGTCACCAGAGCAGGCTGGAAGTTCTTCTTGGGGTTCAGGCAGGCACCTCCACCTCACGCCCTTGGCCAGGAAGAAGATAAGGTGTCCTGAGAGAAATAGGGTTGGACCCATCCGCGTAGGTTGGAAAGGATCACCAAAGTCACCCTTCCCCCTGCACCCCTCCAAGAGGCGCTCTCTCTCTCTCTCTCTCCCCCTTTTATCTCCTTTGGAACGCAGGAGCCCAGGGCGAGGGGAGACCCGTCTGCCCTAAAGCCCCAGCTCCTACCTTTGCCTTGCGCTAGCGGCACAGGGCCTTCCCGGAAGGCACATTTCCCTGTCCTCTGACAGCCCTCTAAATTATTGATCAGGGCTATTCAGTGCAAGAGTCTGAAGCGCGTGCGTGCGTGCATGTGTGTGTGTGTGTGAGAGAGAGAAAAGATTGTCAAAGTTGTCTAGCTTGGGGAAGCAGTATTTTTAGTTCGGAGGCTCACTTTGGCGCCAGTTGGTTTATGCCGTTTCTAGAGCATCATTCACTACTCACGTAATCCCTGCTTACCATATCTCCTTTTAATGTAAATACGGTTTTGGCAGAAGCAAAACGGAAAGATCTCACCCCCTGCATTATTCTTATTAGCACCTACCTTTCATCAGAGCCGATCACCCTGGAAAACGGCAAACTTGTAAGTGGCTAGCGATTTAGAGAAGTTGGAAGGAAAACAAAGGAGGGGGTTTGAAGTACGTGTGTGTGGGGAGGGGGGAGAGTGCCTTTTATACATCTGTGAAGGGTTTCTTCCTCCCTCTCTCTCTCACAGGAAAAGGAACTAATTGTGGTTTCCTAATTTCAAACCAATCGACATCTTCAATGTTCTCTTTGTGTGTTTTGCCCAATTACTTAAAGGGGAAAAAAAAAAGATAGTAATGGATGTTTCTTAGTCCAGCAGAAATGAATTCAGAGGAAGAGGGCAGGGAATTTTTTTCTTTCTCATCTTATCTGACCTAGAATCAGCGAGACGCAGGCCAGAGCTGGCTTGGGCCTCCGGCCCTCTTGACTACCCAACACCTTTCTTTATTCCACATCCTCTTTCAGATTCTCAGTCCAGACAGGTAAGCGCGTAAATGGTCTCTCAGCAATTTGTGCCAGGAATCTGGCTTGTGGGGTGGGGTTGGGGGTTCTAAGGGACAGAACACTTGAAAAAGGGGGAAGGAAAAATACAGCGGAACGTTCTCAAGTCCCCACCGGCCGATGGGAGGTTTCATCTGGACGGGAGAGCTCAGTTCCAAGGTTTCCCGCTTCTGCTCCTTCCCATGATTACTGGCCGTGGTGTCTGGTGCCAGGGGGCTTGGCGGCGGGGGGGTCTCGCCCTCGGAGAGCAGCCGGGGCAGAGGGAGCAGGAAGATGTGTAAGTGAGGGGGCATGGCTAATTAAATGGCCACTACTGTCAGAAAGGTTGACAGGGCCAAGGAAGATCAGCTCCTCCAAGGCTGCTGAACTAACTGTCCCCTTAGAGTCCCAGACACGTTTTCTCAGTTTGAGCACGATATCCGTTACTATTTCCCGTACTGGGTTTCAATTAAAGAGGATCAGAGCAGAGAGGGCAGGCAAGAGATAAATGAGAGAGAACCTTGGATGCAGAAGAGTGTGTGTTTCATCTCCCTTTTCTTCCCGCGAGCCATCCGGTTGGCCTGTGTTCCCAACGTCATGTTTTCGTGTCTCCCCAAACCAGTAGGAGATGACACACACAGACATCCCTCCCTGTCCATTGAAGCCCCCCAAGATGTCGCTGTCCCTGGGAGAGGGATGGCTTTGGGGAGGGATCTGTCTTCTCTCTCTGGGCATATACAGTTCCAGGGACTGGAAGGGTGGGAGCCTTTAAGGCTCACAGGTTTCACCCTCACATTGAAAGCTGCTAAAACCCCTTCTCCCTTGTACAATCCTACGGAAAATATAACCTCTTGCGGGTCTAGGACAGAGGGTGGTGGGGAGTGATTTCACCTGCTTCTCTCGGGAGGATTTGAAAACCTGTGGCCAAGGCTAGGGTGTGGGTCCTAGGTTCCGGATGGGGACCCCAGGCCTGGTCTGCCCCTGAGCAGCTAGCTGCCCCACGCCCAGGGAAACGCTCTGGCCACACACTCCCCCCTCACGGTTTGGAGGCCCCAGCCCCAGCTCTGCTTTCTGTGATCGCTGACCCCGCACGGTGGCCGCTCAGAAAAGGGGGCCGGGGTTGCTGAACCTCAGTGTCAGTCTTAATTACCTGACAATCCCGGGTAGCCTCCTCCTCCATGTGGCTAAAACAAACTTGAGGCCTCAACAATGTGCCTCAAAGTCGGCGCCTTGCCTGCAAGCTAAGCTTCTCTGTCTTCGGAATAGTACGAATGGATCCTGCCGGAGTCTTGTAGAATATCTGGGGGGCGAGCGAGGGGGGCAGGGGGCGCAGCTGGAGCGACTGTTCTCTCCCTCCCAACCTGAGCGCAAGGTTTGGGTGACACTTGTGACCTTAGAGACCCCAGGAGCCTTCACAAGCCTCCAGCCTGGGGTCTGAGTAACGGAGGGCTAGAGAAGTTTCTCTCTCTTTTCCTTTTACATTTTGATTTATTTTTAAGAGGAAGAAGAGAGAGGCAGAGACACACACACATACATGGAAAGCGAAAATGTTTGGAATTGTCAAAGCGCTTTCCCTAAGCTGCTGCTTCTGGTGCCCAGACCTCAGTGCATTTCATGTCCGAGCCAGATATGAAAAATCCTTCTGGCAGGCGCGCGGGCAGACAGCAGAGGCCTCCCCGATCTAGGAATCTTTCTGGGCAACGTCCTTTCCTCCTTTCCCTTGGAAAAGGAAGCCTTGCGGCCCCCAGGAAGGAGTGTGTGGCAGAGACAGCCCTGATCGCCCCATCCAGGTCCTCTGGGCCCGTGTGTGTGTGTGGGGGGGGGGTGCTTCGCCTCACTCCGCACCCGCCTCAGCGCGTTCCAAATCCGGAAGCTGGACGTGTTCCGTGCGGCTCCAGGCCTCGCCCAGCGCGGAACCCGAGGAGACCCTGGCTGCCTCGGATTACACCCGCACCCTGGGGTGGAGGGTCGAGGCCCGCGGGGGAGCGGAGAGGTCCCGGATGGGCTGGGTCGCCTGGAGGTCCGGGACCCGGGATGCGCGACCCGCGCGCACTGGCTGCCCGGCGACCTGCTCGCCTCTGCGGCTCGCGGGGCGGGGCGAGGCGAGGCGGGCTGCTCCGCGCGGGGGTAGAGAACGCACGTTTTTTTCTCTCAGCTCAAACTAGGGTTCCAGGGGTTCCGTGAGCAGCCCCTCACCCCCACCCAGCGCGGAGGTGTCTTTTTCCAGCCTGGATTCCGCCCCCACCCCCCTGCTTGCAAAGGACCCACCTGGGAGGGGGGAATAATAAAGACCTTAAGTGCTGGGGGTGCAGGGGTTACCAAAAATGAAGGAGAAATGTAGCCCTTTCCAGCTCTCAAAAGGGATGTAAAAACAATCGCCAGGAGATAGCCTCCCGCGGAGAACACGGGGCTCGGAGGCACCGAGCAGAGTCCGGAGAGGATCTTCGCGTACAAAGGAGGGTGGGGTGCGAGGGAACGTTCTCCACTCCCACCGCTGGGGTGTGTTTTTACATGTTTTCTTAACAGCGAGTTCTATAAACAGGTCAGCCCTACGCTGCCAGCGCAGGGAGTTGGAGGCTGTGTGCAGACGCCTCTCTTTCCCACTCGCCCCCCTACGAGCCAAACGCGCAGGGGGCGAGGGCCGCGAGCGGGGGTGGGGGGTGGGGGGTGGGGGGTGGGGGGGGCTGCCTCTGACTCGGAGGCTACAGTTGCTTTTGAAATAGCTGCTCTTGTCTTCAGACGGTAAAATATGAGCTCCCCACATGGCTGACTCCTGTCTTCTGGTACCTCTAAGCAGGGTTTAGGTAGTTGGGGGAGGGGGGGTCGCGGTGCTCTAATTACTTCTGAGCTGAGTGGGGGTGGGTCGGGGGGATTCTCTCTCTCTTCAGCTCGGCCTTGCTGGGGTGCCGGGGCGCGTTATTAAACCCAGACGCTCCGTCCAGGAATTGGGGCCATGAGGAAAAGATTTACAATTAAGCCAATTGGGGCCGAATACAGCTTTCCAAGTTTGCAGGTGTAAATAATGCCTTGGGTTTTTTTTTTTTTTTTACCCTTTCCAAGAGACTTCATTTCACCCCCCCCAGCCCCCACCCCTGCAAGATTCTCGTACTTTGAGAGCAAAGTGGGGAGGAGGAAGAGCGGTGGGAGCGAGTTAGGGTTTTTCTATGAGACAAGTTAAAATATGATGTTGGACTCACTTTTATGTCCGTGTATTAATGCCGTGATTAACCGGGACAGGCTCCTCTATTTCATTTCTCCGTCTAGAATTCGAGAATTGTTGGGAGTCCTTGAAAAGCCTTCGGAGGGTGGGTTATGATACTTTTAGTTTTTAGGGAATGAGACAGGGAGATTGAATTATTTATAAACTTTTCTTACTCGTAGAGATTAGGCGAGGGGAGGGGGAGGGGGCCCCCTTTTATTTGGGATATCAGAAGATTGCCCCAACCTGAATCTGGAGAGGAGGGCCTCGCTTTCTGAGAGCAGAGTCACGACCTTTCTCCAGGGCTTCATTTTTAGATCTCCTTAATGTTTGGGGAGCCCTGTATGGGTCCAACTCAAAGGCTATGTTCTATTGCATTCTTTAAACGTAATAGAATTTGCATGTGTGGCTCTAAAATGTCCTATGCGGTACGGTGTGTACATAGGGACGTTCCAAGTAGCCCCAAACACGAAATTAAATCTCAGGTTAAAAAATGCATTGCAGTCACGCCCCACGGGCGGACTCCCATCTGATCAATACAGACAAGAGTTAAATTTGTTTTGCAGCTACATAGTTACTCCTTTTCTCTCTGAGCAATAAAGTCTGCCTGTTACAAATTACCAGGGAATTGGAGCATATGCTTCCCTCACCCCCGCAACTGTTGTTCAGTATTCTTAGTCTTGCACTAACCCATTCAATAATATATGTAATATGTGTGTACACAGGCACTTTTCCAAAAAGTTAGCGATAACATTCCGGGGGTACGAAGAATGGCGTGTTTCTCCCTCTGCAATGTAAGGATCGGTGCGCCCTGCGTTGCCACTCTGGAGCCCCCGTCTCGGGGGACGGGGACCCACGGGGACCGCGCGGGGAGGAGGTTTCGCAGCCTCGGTTGCACGCAAGGGCACGGAGTCAAAGCGCCTGACTCCAGCCAGGATAAGGTCATAGGTGTAGAATTAGGGAGACAGGACTTAACACGTCTGTCCCGCGGCGAAGGGAGAGCAGGCGTCACCCAGCCCGGGATGAAACCCCCGAGCCGCCACCGGCAAGTTTCCAGGCAATGGTGGGGGCAAGCGCCTTTTTTTTTTTTTTTTTTAATTTTACTCTTTCTCCCTTCTTGTTGTCCGCCTTTAAAAAGTTCCCAGCCCAGTGCATATGTTGGGCATAAATAAGAGCGGGGAGAGTGGTGGTGAACGCTGGGTGAACCCGAATCAGCCTTAAGCGGCGCGGGAAGTAGGTGGGGAGGCGGAGGAGATAGATGTGTCCTAGTTTGGGGGGAGGGGAGAGGTGGGGGAGGGGACCGCTGCTCCCTTGGAAACCTGCGCGCCTCGCGTCTGGAGCTCTCCCGCAACCTGTGCGCAGGGTGCCGCGGGCGTCTCGCCGCTGGATGGCGCTCGGCGGAGACGCGGCCGGCGGACCCCCCACCCCCACCCCCACCCCCCCCCCGGCCCCCGCAGGGCCCGCGCGCATCGCCGCCGCCGCGCGCCGGGTTGGGACCTCAGTTTGGAGCTTCCGCAGTGGCAGTTCCGGATGCACCCGGAGGCCATAGCCGGTCCTGGAGGCTGGGGCGGGGGAGGGTCACTCAGCGTCGGCCTGCCCTGCAAGGTGGATGCGGAGAGGCTGGGCTGGAACCGGGATCGGGGAAGGGGGGGGGGGGTTGGGGGAGAGTTCTCAGGGCAAAACTAACGCCTCGTTTCTTAGGCGCCACCTGCACTCGCGCTTGTTTACCGGGACAAGTGTGGGTGTGTGGTGTGTGTGTCGGGGAGAGTGGTCTGCAAAGGAGGACAGCCAGGTGGATGGGGAGATGCGAAAAGGGGACGCGGTTTGCAGAACCTCAGGGCCCCGCACCCCCTTTTGCAAAGGCCAGTCCAGCTCTCACCTACTCCCCCTCCCCCTCCAGGTACGCTCAGTGGAAGTCAGCGGGCCCGAATTGTACCTGTAACTGGGAGTGTCAGGATTAGAGCGCACCCCAGTCAAACGGAGCCCTCATTTGGAAGCGTCCCTGAAGGTGCTGAAGACCTCTTGCGCAGAAATGCACCCAGCCCTTGGCGAGCGCCTACTGTTTACCAAGCACTGCACTAGACTTTATGAGCTGGTCAAAAATGACTTAAAGAGCTAGAAAGGGGAAAAGAGCAACCATAGCCGAAGAGGTGTATTGCTACATGGTCCCGCCAAGAGTGTCTAATATTAGGTCTTTATTTTCTAAGTTTCTGGATGGAAAGAGAAGACTGACTCATCCTATCTACAACTCCAATCACAGCGCTTGGCAATTGTAGGTGCTCAGTAAGTAATCTTTCCATACAGGAATAAAAGTCAATGAAGAAAGGGAGAGACGGACTGAAGGGGCTCCTCTGTGCTTTTGGAAACCAATGACTACTCACTCCCAAAGTGCACTTTTTAAAAACCAGCATCAAACGGATTAGTAGCCCCCCCCCCCCCAGATTCTGATATGTAAGGTGAAACAGTGAAAACACGATAGAAGAAAGTTTGGTCCCATGGATAGAAGCATCCACTAGGTCATTCCACAAATATTGATTGAAGGGCTTTCTCTGTCCATGTAGTCGGCTAAGCGCTGGAGACACTGGGTCCTGGCTGGTTCGATGCTGATTGTCTTGAACTTTATCCACTGCGGTGAGTAGAATATATATACGTTTCCATTTTAGAGAGGAGGAAAGTCAAGGCCCAGGAAGGGTGGGGTGGCAGAGGGCTTACATTCAGCATCTCAGGCAGGAAGGCCAAACTCAGCCCTGCCCCACCTTCTATGCGCGCTGGGGGAGGTTGGGCCAGGTGGTTTTTTCCGATCCTGGGAAAAGGCAGGAACGTCTGGGAGCCCTGCAAATCCCAAAGGGGCCTCGAGGTTGTGGCCAGCGCCTGGCAGTTTTCAGGAGTCAGGGTCTACACCCTGTGGGGGTTTCCCAAAGGACTTCCCCAGATCTGCTCCCTGAAGCTCCGAGCTGAAGGATGTAACGTCTAGAGTCTCCCATCCGATTCTTCCAGACCACTCCGCCGACACCTTGCCTAGGACTGGGCAGTGCTGTCCTTCTTCACAGACAGGCAGTGTGGGACAAGAGCCTCTCCCAAGGTCACAGTGCTCAAAGTGACCGCGAAGAAGCCTTTACAACCCCTTCCTCCCTACCCCACCCCCACCAGGATTTTCTGTTTCTCTGCAGACCTCTTCCCTCATTGGTGTAGCCCAGTGACCAGCGCAGTCTGGCACGTGCAGCCTCTTCATCTCGTGTTTGTTGATTGACTAAATGAATCCTTGTTTGTTTGTTTTGGGTTTTAAATATAGAACAGAACTAAAAAATGAAACCAGGATCGAATAAAGGGGAGTGAGGTGAGAAGCTCGCTTTCCGAGGCGCTCCGTGAGGGTGTGAGGGTGCGCGGGCGTGGGTTACTGCGCGTTCTGGCCCCTTTCCACTGGATTTACAAAGACGCCTGTGATTTCCTTTCGTCTCTATTTTAGTCCTAGACTTCGTTTGGTTGGTCGATGATGGAGACAAGCTGACCCACTGTTGAGGTCAATACAATCGATGAGGTCCCCCCTTCCCCGCAACCGCTGGGAAATCACCTTCGCTGCCGCGCCTCTGGCTTCCAACCGGAGCTTTCAGGATTTGGAGTTTCTCGGTCTTTCGCAGTCAGTATTGAACTGGGGGGAGCATGGAGGTAGGTGGGCGGGAAGAAGGCTCCAGTCCCACACGAGTGAGTCTCTGGGCCCACCGGGCAGGGAGATCGCTCTCCCCTGGCACCCAGCCCACTAGTAGATTTCATTCGCCAGCGTCTTGACCTTGGAATCCAGCACCAGGATCGCTAGGCAGCGGGTCCGCGCTCCTTAGCCCAGGGCTCCCTCCTCATCCCTGCAAAACGGGGTTTTTATGAAATGCTCTTTACCGAAGACAACAGTTGTGAAATGCTCAAGTGAATGGGAATGTTCTGAGAACTTTTCCACCCCTCAGCTCATCACATACAACAATCGAGGAGGCAGGTGCCTTCACAGTGAGCTCCCATCTCCAGGGGAGGAAACTGAGTCACGCAGGGGGATACAAAGACTTGCCCGGGGTTTCACGGCTAGTTAGTCTCTTGTGGAGCTGGGATTCCACCTGGGATTGTCTTTCTCATTTTCTGACTTTGAACGGGGAGGCACTAGGTGTCCCTCCCGCGTGCACACAGTGGGTCCACTATGGCCGTCTGTCTCCTTTACTTTTTTGCTCTTCATAGGGAGACATTCCATTTAACCCTTGTCTGGGCAGATCTGGAAACTGCCCTAGCCCGTTGGTCCCTTCCTTCTAGAAGCAAATGCAGTTGGTTGGGCGGGGTGGGGGGAGGAGGAAGTGACAGGCTGACAATCCTTCTTAAACTCTGGCAATCCAGCGCTTTCAAGACTTTTTTTAATATACGAAGGAAGGAGTGTGTGTGTGTGTGTGTGTGTGTGTGTGTAGAATCAATATGGTCCAGACAGCCCTTCACAAAAGGGCTCCAGGCGGGCGCCTAGGCCTCACGGCCCCCGCCGCACCGCCCGCGGCGAATTAATTGGGCCCCGAAAGAAGAGGCGACCTAGCTTCCAGTTAATTAGTCAAGAAATGAATCAAGCCCCAGCGGCCAGGCAAAGGCCCCTGGGGCGCGGGTTTTGTGCTCGCCAAATTGGTCGGTGGGGCGCCCCCCTGGGGCCGGGTGGGGCGCGCCGGGGGACCGAGCGGGGGCGCCTCGCGCTGCGCCCGGAGCGGGTTCGCGCACTCCCCGGGCCCTCGCTTCCGCCGGCTGCCTCCCCGGTCCTGAGCGTCTCCTCCTGCTGGGCTTTTCCCCGCCTTGAACGTCCGGGCCTTCGCCTTCTCTCCCCTTCAGCTCTGCTCGGGTTTCGGGTTTCCTGGTCGCCCTCTCTCTGCGCCCGGGACGTCTCTCTCTCTCTCAAGCCCCGGGCTCAGCCTAGCAGGACCTGAGCTGGGTGGTTTGGGGACAGCGCTGGGCATGCTGAGAATCCTTGACGCAGGGAGACGAGGTGGAAATGAGCCCTGGCTTTGGGTCCCTGGGGACCCGGCTCTGCGTCCTGCGTCACCTTGCATCCAGCTCTTAAGAGCGGTCAGCGGAGCCCTCTGCGTGGTTTTGAAAGGGCTTGTTAACCAGGCATCGGTGTCCCCGTATGATGGGGAATTGACGCAGATCTGCAGCACACGAGCGATGACTGGGCACCTGCTGTGTACATCTCTCCTCCGGCATCTCTGGTCACACATACCCTGTGACCCAGGCAGGGAAGCTCAGGGTGTTTTCGTCGAAAGCAGTTCCGTTGGAGGGAAGGGAGGGGAGGTACAAACAGTAAACCCGATTATTTCAAGGTCTTTTGGCGCCCTGTGCCACCTTCCTGAACTAAAGGTATGGCGTTCAGGGCTCAGAGAACTGAAGTGATTTTCCTGGAGGCGCAGAGCAAAGGGAGGCGAAGCCGAGGATTCTATCCTCTAGGGAGGCGTCGGGGGTCCGGATCATTTGTCCGCCTGGCCCGGCCGGGTATTTACGGACAGGACGAGGGTCGTCGGGATCACCTTTCCCCCTCGGCCGTGGCGCCCACTCGCGATTTCTCTCCCTTCTCTGTCTTTCCAGCCGTGTCCGCTTTGGTCGCTCTCTCCCTCAACTGCACACGGAATCCGCACTCAGGTTGAGGTTCAGGACGTCCATCTGCCGCCGGGATCCGAGCTCCGAGCCGCGGAAGCGAATGCAATTGGATTCCATGCCTTCCCTGCTGTGCCCACCGCCCAGCCCCTTCCCCAGCCGGATGCTTTTGGTGAAAGCGTGGCTTTCCCACAGCAGCCCCGAACCGCGAATTCTCTTTCTTCTCTTGCCGACTTGACCAACTTAGACTTCACTCGAGGCCCAGAGGTGCCTGCGCCGCGCTTGGCCGCCCTCCCTGCCTCCCTTGGGAGGCTCGGGACTGCGGTTTCGGCTCGCCACCTCCGTGCCTGGCGGGCATGCAGCAGCCTGGCCAGCCTCCCGCGCACGCGCTCAGCGCCGGCTGCGGTAGGCCTCAGTTTCCCCGCTCCTTTCGGGCTGGAGACGTGACCGGCGACACGATTGGAGGAAGAGGAACGGCGACTGGATGGATCGGGTTGGTGAGCGGCGGGGCTGCCTTGCTGGCTGTGCGGCCGGAGGGGGAGTCTTGGCGACCCGCGGCCGCCTTTCCCTCTCCGCCCCTCCGCGGACCATGCACACGGGATGAAACGCGTCCCGCATTAGGAATGGAGCCGCCGACCGCCACGACCCCAGTGTTCCCTAAGAGCCGCCCACAGCCTGATGGGGCTCGGAGGGCAGTGTGGGTGTGCCCTGCTCTAGGTGAGGACGCACAGCCAGGTCCCAGCCAGCAGGTGCACGCTTGCCGAGCGTGAGCGCAGGGCACGTTCCTTCCAGGGCTGCCTGCCCCGCCGCGGGGGGGGGGGGGGGGGTTGCTGCTGGGGGCCTCGGGACATTGGCGGACCCCCCCCCCCACGACTGCCAGGGTCAGTGGTTCATTACGCTGTGTTCATGCACCTCTTACTGAGCTTTGAGAGGTGGCCTCTTAGAGCCTTAGAACTTCCGACGAGTCCCTTAGTCCTTCTAAGCCTCAGCTGCCTCTTGCCACAAAGGACTTGGTAGGGGGTAAATGAGATGGGGTGGACATTGCTCAGGCACACCTTGGTGCCTAATAAGTGCTCATTAAACATTAGCTGGGCGGGGCCCCTGGGTGGCTCAGTTGGTTGAGCGTCCGACTTCGGCTCGGGTCATGATCTCACGATTGTGGGTTCGAGCCCTGTGTCGGGCTCTGTGCTGACAGCTAGCTCAGATCCTGGAGCCTGCTTCGGATTCGGTGTCTCCCTCTCTGACCCTTCCCTGCTCATGCTGTCTCTCTCTCTCTCTCAGAAATAAATTAAAAAAAAAAAATTAGCTGGGCACCCTAAACCCTTTGGGTCCAGTCTCTATCTCATCTACTCCTATACGCTGCGTGTAAATCCTATACGTTTACTCAAAGTGTATGTTTTCGAGTATTTCGAGGTATCTATCTATCTATTCTTACACGACTACCTAGCATCTATGAAGCTCCGTCTCTGTAGTGTTACTCTGGTCCAGTCCTGTTCGCAGCTCAGCCCGACGCCCCATTTCCTGCCTTCTTCCAGGTTGACCCTGAGGTGAGAGGCTCCCTCAGGCTTCCCGTTCAAAACCTCATGTCCCTGTGGGCCCCTTGCCCGACCCGGGATCTCAAAACTGTAAGCGATCCCAGAGATAAGAGGGTGCGGCCTTCCTCTCCTCACACAGGAGCCAGGGTCCCCGCTGGGCTCAGACACCAGCTATCCCGAATTCAAATCCGGGACCTTTTCATCACCACCCCCGCCCCCGTGCCCTGGGTCTCCTCCAACCTGCCGAGAGGAGGGAAAGTTTCTCAGCTCAACTGAGGAACAAGGGTCTGTGGACAATGAAGGAGCGATACTGGGAGCCTTGCGCTCTGTGAGGCTGGGCGGCCTGCGGGGGGATTTCAGCTCCCGGGTGGGGTGAAGGCTTCTGGGCCCTCGGTGCCAGTGCCGCTGCGTGTGGCTGACGTCCCCACTCCCAGGCCCAGACTGGAATCAGCGACGGGAGCCCACCGTTCCCTTCCCCAGTCCTGTGGGGCCCTGCACCCGGCCTGATGACTTGGGGGGGGGAGGGGAGGGGGGATGGAGCAGGACGCTAACAGGGAAGAGTCGGGGAGAGCAGGAGGGAGGGGACGCTTGGGTAGGAGGGAGAAGGGCACATGAGAAAGAGAAAGCCGGGCAGACACTGAGAGATGGACGGAGCCCCTTGGACACCTGGAGGGGTGAGGGGAGACCTGGAGGAGAGCGGAGGTGAAGGCGGACCCAGGCAGTGGTGAGGCCAGCACCCAGGGCGGGAGGCGGGGTGGAGACGGAAGAACACGGGGAAAAAGCAGGCAGTGAAGACCAAGTGCAGAGACAAGAGAGGTGCAGAGATAAACAGAGACAAGGAGACAGCAGCCTCCTGTCGAAATGTGGGGACCTCGGGAGGCTCATGGGGGGACGGTGGCCCCCAGGGAGTGCACACACAGCCCGGCCCCGCCCCGCCGCCCTCCCGCTCTGTTAGGTGGTCTAGTCCCGCATAAACGCCTCCATTCAATCGTGATTGAGCTGCTCCAAATGACCAGATCCCGAAGTGGCCTCCGGCCCTCAGGGAATATGGTTTCAACCCCATCTAAAGCATCAGATACCAGCAACGTCGCAGATAAGTTACCATTCATTAGGGGTGTCCAAGGCTCCCCCTACAAGGCCTTCACGGTGGGGGTGGGGAGCGTGGGGCGGAGAGCCTGGGAGCCAGCGGGGTGCGGGGAGGCACTGCCTTTCCCTGCTCTGCAAGTGGCCTGGCCTAAAAGCCCCTTTCCTGCCTGGCTCATGGTCGCTCAAACCCACAGTGGGGAGGGTATGGTCAGTGGGGTCTCCTTGGCCAAGAAGAGGAAGCATCCCCTACTCCCCACCCTTCCCGGTCCTCCTCCAGATTCCCAGAGTGCATTTGGCCAGATGGAGAGGGGAGCAGCGTATTGTTCTAGAGTCCCGCTCTCGCTCTCCCGAGAGGGATGGGGTGCCCCTGCTGCCTGTGGGAGGGCAGATCCTTGCTCAGGGGGTGGGAGGCTGCTGAGAGAGGCGCAGAAGTGTTCCTACTACAGAGGAGGCTGGTTAAGGTGAAAGTCTCCTCAACTCCAAGCAGAATAAGCCCAGAGTTCCTCTTCCCTTACCGGCCTCCCAGTCTCTTTAAAGAACATTTTCAAGGCAGCAACTAAAAGGATTTCTTTTCCTTTTTCCCCCCCTCCCCTCCCCTCCCCTCCCTTCTTTTTTGTTGCAAAGGCTTGTGTTTGCTTTGCTTTAACAAACAGCTGATCGAGTTTGCTGTAAGGAGCTAAAAAAAAATGTACCCACAGGGCAGGCCAAGCATTAACTGTGAGCATGCATATTCGTGTGTGTGTGTGTGTGTGTGTGTGTGTGTGTGTGTGTGTGTGTGTTTAGGCCTCTTGAGCGGGCTTGCAGTAATAAATGGGACCTGCTTCAGGTGCAGAAAGCTGGGAGGGGTGGGGGAAGGAATGCACGGACAGATTTACACCTGTCCCTACAGCTGCCATCAACAACACTTACAGCCTCCAGAAGTGACCCTTGGTGCCGACTTGTCTGGAAGCCATCAGGGCTAGTTTTGAAGCAGGAATCCTCAAGTGGACCAGAGGGCGAGCTTTGCCCACCCCCCGCCCCTCTCCGTTGCTGTCCTCAAGTGCTGCCCAGTGGAGTAGTCTGGCTGCCTGGGTAGCCCATCAGCCCCTCCCTCCCCATTTCCTCTGTCAGACAAATACCATCATTGACTTTCAGCTGCCTTTGGTCCCGCCGCCTAATGAAGGCTGCGCGGGGGTGGGGTGGGGGTGGGGGGGTGCAGCCAGCGCATCACAGCCACCCTCCACCCTCCTCCCAGGAGCTGCTGGGTCTGGACCCAGGAATCTGCGTGGGATTTCTAACTCCACCCTCCAGCCAGTTTCTGCCCCTTGCCACCAGCACCCCCCTCCCCCCCCCCCACTGGCCAGACAGTTGAGTGACTGATAATATCCAGACGCCTCTGGAATCTCATTCCCAGTCTTACCAGCGCTCCGCCTGGGCTGCAGAAGTGGGGGCAGCGGGCAGCGGGCACCCTGCCCTGAAAGTTGTTGCCACCTCTCAGAGGCCGATGAAAGCCCCACTCAGCTGGGCCCTTCAGGCCCGGGGACCCTGGAGCCAGGCCACTCAGAAGGCATGTTTGACACCCATGCTGGGAACTTTGAGTCCCTGGCTTTCTACCCCTGGCCCCACAGAGGTCGAGGAGGGCTGAGGCGGGGGCGGGGGGTAGTGGGGGGTGGGGGTGGATTGCAGGCCACCAGCTCCCAGAGAAGCCACGGGAAGGCCTTGCACAGTGCCTGGGAATTACCAGGCGCTGGAGTGAGCGTCTGGCTTCCATTCCCTGACTGGTAAAACTGGGGGTAGGGGGGGGGGGCACCGCGGCACAGCACACTCACGATTTACAGACCTCGGTTCCGCCTTCACGATGATTCCCTTAATCTGTATTTTCATCATCGACTCATTTTTTCAAAGCACCCCCATTTGTTGGACGTGAAATCCTCACCTAGCTTGTGTCCATGAGCTCCCGTCTCACTTCCCAGGGAGGGAAGGGAGGCGGGATGTGATGCGCAGCTATATCAAGGCAATGTTACAAGGCTCCGAGCTGGAAGCCCACTGCGGCCTTGATAATGATGCACAACTGCTGTCCAAGGGCACTCCGACCCGGTGAGCATGAGCCTAAGACTGGACTCCACTGGCAGGTCCAGAAGAGCTTTCTTCGTCTGTGAGTCAGAGCCATCCAAAGCCACGTTCAGCTCCCACACGCGCACCCCTTTTTGACATTTCAGAGAGCGCTGTGCAATGTGCTTTCCTGGAGCTTTTTTGATAGTACAGGCGCGTTAACAATCATTTTGGGTTTTGGGGCTCTTTGGCTGCCTTCTGCTCAGTCACAACCAAAGCAATCACGGTCAAGGCTTCGTTTCACTAATTCCAACCCCAAGAAGGACTTGGCCACCTTGTGGGGCCGCGGACCCCTCGGGCAATCTGGTGAAGCCTACAGATGCCTTCTCAGTAGAAGATTTTCAAGAGGCGTAGACTTACGATTTTACGACAAAAGCAGTATTAAACATGAAAGTATAGTAACGCAGAGGCTCTTAATGAGTACGTCCAGCAGTGCGATCTACCCGTGGGCATAGTACTGTAGCTCGGAAGTTGGGATGAGCATGACGACGAAGTTGCAATGCGGTACGAAAACACCTGTGGTTTTATCTATGGCCAAGTCCCAGCCATGGCCAGTCCTCCTGGGTGCAGTCACTTACGGTTATAATGGAAGGAAATACTCATTTCACTTCGAGCTGAGCAAAACTGAGAGTTGAGTGAAGTCCCAAGTTCACAGACCCCAGAATTCGATCCATGGGCTCCCGTGTTCCTGTAGGTGACCGTTGGGGGACATCAGGGCAAGAAGCAAGAATCCTTGAGGGGGAGGGGATGAATTGAGCTCTCGGTCTCTGTAGGCATGGAGGAGGAAGGTTCCCATGAGAAGGAAGCTAGCACAACCTGCCTGTGGGTGAGGAAAGCCATGATCAACATTTCAAAGAATATTTCTCTTAAAAAAATATTTTTTAATGTTTTATTTGTTCCTGAAAGAGAGAGAGAGAGAGAGACAGCCTGAGCAGGGGAGGGTCAGAGAGAGAGGGAGACACAGAATCTGAAACAGGCTCCAGGCTCTGAGCTGTCAGCACAGAGCCCGATGTGGGGCTCGAACCCACAAACCGTGAGATCATGACGTGAGCCGAAGTCAGACGCTTAACCGACTGAGCCACCCAGGCGCCCCTTCAAGGGATATTTCTCAATGGGCCCAGGAGGGAGCGAGGTGTGGGCCTGGGCAGTTTTGGCT